GTATTTACTAGAGATGCTAGCTATAACAATGAGATAAGAAAAAGAAATTGAAGGAATAAGAAATAGGCAATGAGGAAAAAAAACTATCATGGCTTGCAGATGATATAATGATATGTTTAGTGAATCTTAGAGAATCAACTAAAAAACTAATTGAAAAATCAAAACTTTAATAAAGCTGCAGGATATAAAACAAACCCACACAAATCATCAACATTTTTTATATTTCTGAAAAACCTAGAAGGAAAAGATAGAAAGAAATTCCATTTAATATAACTGTGGACAGCATAAAATCTACCAAGACACTAGATAAGAAATAGAATAGTTGAACAATGGAACAGATTCAGTACACAATACACACAAGCAAATGACTACAGTAATCTAGTGCCTGATATACCCAAACCTCCAAATCACCGGGGCAAGAACTCACTATTTGACAGGAACTGCTGGGAAATCTGGAAAACAGTCTGGCAGAAACTAGGCATAGACTAACATCTCATACCTTATACCAAGATAACTCAAAATGGGTACATGATTTAATATAAAGGGAGATACCATAAGCAAAGTAGGGGAGCATGGAATAGTTTACCTGTCAGATCTATGAATAAGGAAAGATTTCATGACCAAATAAGAGATAGAGAGGATCATGGGAAGTTAAGTGGATACTTTTGATTAAATTAAATTTAAAAGTTATTGCATAAACAAAGCCAGTGCAATTAAAATTTGAAGGAAAGTATGAAACTGGGGAGGGGAGGGAAATTTTACTGCAAGTTTCTCTGATAAAAGTCTCATTTCTCAAATATGTAGGGAACTGAATCAACTTTATAAAAATAAGAGGCATTCCCCAACTGATAAATTGTCAAAGGATACAAACAGGCATTTTTCAGAAGAAAACAAAACTGTCAATAGTCATATAAAAATATTTTAAATCACTAATAATTAGAGAAATGTAAATTAAGACATCTCTGAGGTACCACTTCATACATATAAGATTGGCTAGCAAGACAGAAAAGGAAAATGACTAATTCTGGATGGGGTGTGGAAAAATAAGGAGTATGCTAATGCATCGTTGGTGGGAGCTGTAAACTGGTCTCACCATTTCAGAAAACAGTTGGAACTATGCCCAAAGGGCTATAAAATTTGATCCAGAAATATTGGTGCTAGTTTTGTACCCCAACGAGATCAAAGGAAAAGGAAAAGGACTCATGTACAAAAATATAGCAGTTCTTTTTGTAGTGGCATAGAATTGGAAACTGAGGGGATGCTGTCCCTTGGAGAATGGATGAATAAGTTGTGGTATATGGTTGTGATAAAATACTATTGCGTTGTAAGAAATGATAAAAGGGATGATTTCAGATAAACCTGGGAAGACTTATACAAGCTGATGCAAAGTGAAGTTAGTAGAACTAGAAGAACACTGTACACATTAACAGCAATGTTGTAATAATAATCACCTGTGAAAGACTTCGCTACTCTGATCAATACAGTGATATATGACAATTCCAAAGGACTCATGATGAAAAATGTATATAAATGGATATTTACACAAAGAGAACTAGTGAACTCTGAATGCAGATTAAATTATTTTTTTCAATTTATTTTTCTTGGGTTTTTTGCAGCATAGCTTATGTGGAAATATGTTTTACATGACTTCATGTGTGTGATGGCTATTATATTTCTTGCCTTCTCAGTGGGCAGGGGAGATGGTGGGAGAATGGAGAGAATTTGGAAATGAAAAGAAAAAGAAATGAGATGCTTTATGATCCTGTCCATTCAGATTTCCCAAATGTCTATTTTAGCCGTAAAACCTAGTTATATTAATTGTTTCTTTGTTCTTTTGTTTTGTACTTGTATGAGGCTGTGCCTGTGGAAGGAGCATAACTTTTCCATCTACTCTCCCAAAGTTTGGTATTTTGCTCAGTAATGCAGTTAATCTATTGTTCTTCATACAGTAATTTAAGATGCTGGTAGGACAGCCAGCTGTAAAATTTAATACATTCAATAAATCTAAAAAGATACATTTAGAATTTATTTCATTCTATGGTTTGTCACACTCTTGGCTTCTCCAAGATAACCAGTATTACCTCTCTGTATTTTAAGAGAACTTTCAGTGCTAACGTAATGTGGATGAAGATCCAGAAAAAGGAAACTGAAAAGGAGTAGTCAGACAAGTAGTGGAGAACCAAAAGAGGGCAACATAGTGAAATCCTAGAGAGAAGAGAATGTCAAAGGGAACAACAGTGTGTGCTCAGACAGTCCCAGTCCTCCAGGATCTTAAGTTCTAATGGCGTCACAATATGTAAATAATGAACTAAATAGATACATATGTACACATAAAGGACACACACACACATATATATTAGATATATTACATATGTATATGTATATATTTAAATGAGAGAGCATCTGAAAGAGGAAGGCCTGAGCAGATGGCATTAACAGGAAAATTTCCTGGAGTAGATGAGATTTAAGCTGTCTTGAAGGAAATCAGAAAAACTAAGAGTTAGGGGTGAGGGAGCTAAACATTCCAGGCACAGGCAAGGGCTTGTGCAAAGGTTCTAAACTGGGAGATGGCATACCCATGTCTTTGTCTAAGCTTCATCCTGTACCTGGCAAGTGCTTCCTCCTCACGTCCCTTTTTGGAATCTTTACTTTCTTTTTTTTTTTTGCTTTCTTTCTTTCTTTTTTTTGCGAGGAAGTTGGGGTTAAGTGACTTGCCCAGGGTCACAGAGCTAGTAAGTGTCAAGTGTCTGAGGCCAGATTTGAACTCAGGTCCTCCTGAGTCCAGGGCTGGTTCTCTATTCACTATGCCACCTAGCTGCCCCTGGAATCCCTACTTTCCTTGAAGATTCTTTTCCTGGTCCTTCTAGCTTATAGAACACTCCTCAAAACTACTTTGTGTGTGTCTGTATGTGTATACACACATATAGATGCATGCATATATATACTCATGCACACACACACATATATGCACTTACACACATACATATATGTGTGTGTATATAAGCATATATACACAGAGACACAGGATACAGCATAGCTTTGCACTTTGTACAAATGTACAAAATATATATGTGTGTACAAATGTACATGTATACATACATGTATGTGTATATACATATATATTCTGTCTATACCTATATTGTACATGTTTTCTCCTCCATTAGAATGTAGACTATTTCATGGGCAGGAGCTATTTCATTTTTGTCTTTGTATTCCCAGTGCTTACCATAGTACTTTGCTGATAGTCAGTATTTAATATATGCTTGTTGATTGGTTGATTTTATGAATTGAATTGGAAAAACTCTTGAGTAAACTGCCATAACTACTATTCTGTGAATTTCCTGAGGACAGGTACTGACTTCTTTGCATCTTGCCCAAAAGTATCTAGCATGGAGTCTGCATGAAATTTGCACTTAATGGGTTGGTTTTTTTAGCAGAACTGAATCAAAGTTGGAAATCTCCCTCTTAGATGCTTAGTGTAATAAAGAAAATTTACTAAGCATTGTCTTTCATTTCTTATTAATGTACAAACCACTGATAGAAACTTGATTTTAGCTAAGCTACAGATTTAGCCAATATGAGTAACCTCAACATCATTTACAATATGTCTTTGTTCTTATTTTTTCATATGATTAGTTCACTAGAATATCAGTGCATAATGATGTGAATATAATTATCTTCTTAAACCTCCATAGTGTTCAACATTAACATAAGATTTCTGTTAAACATAGTTGTCCTTTTTGTCATTTGCTCTAAAATAGGAACAGATGCTTCTGCTGTTCCTCACAAAATACATTTTCTCTTATTACTGACAAGTGGATAATATCATTATTGGCAGGAAAGTAATGACAGAAGATATGAATTTGATTATATTTCAGCCTTACTGATTATTTCCTAAAAATAAAATTTTTATCAGCTTTCAAAAGGTGTGAGCTTCCTTCACATTGACCGATTCCTTTCCTCCTCACCATACTCATGCCCTTCTATTTTTACCTGTGATATTAGACTAAGAGAGCATGTACGCTTCTCAGTATTCATTTCCCCTTCATCTACCAATGGCTGTAAAAGCCCAGCACCAAGAGAGCAGGAAAAAGAAATAAAGCTTAATAAATTTTTAAAAATCCAATGCATAACTTCCTCTAGCCCACACTTGATTTATTCTATTCCATGTGCTTATGTGCTGCAACATATGCAAAGGAACAATTCTTTTACATAGGAGTTTATATTACATTTGGAAAAAGGAGAGAATAGAACAATAGTTGTCTCTTTTTAAAAGGAAAAGACCTATTATTTAGAATTGTAAGAGACTCTCTTCTAGAGATCATTTGTTCCAACCTCTTAATTTTACAGATGAGAAGACAAACCAGCCCACAGGGATAAAGTGTTATTTAAAAGTTGACACAGGTAGCAATTAGGTGGCACAGTGGATAGAGTGTTGGGCTTTTGAACTCATCTTCCTGAGTTCAAATCTGGCCTCAGACACTTATTAGCTTTGTTACCCTGGGCAAATCACTTCACCCTATTTGTCTCAGTTTCCTCAACTGTAAAATGAGCTGGAGAAGGAGATGGCAAACCACTCCAGTATGTTTGCCAAGAAAAACCCAAATGAGGTTACCAAGAGCTGGATATGATTGAAAAATGACTGACCTTGTCACAGGTGACAAATGCAGGTCTCTAGCCCGGGTTCTCAAACGTCAAATCCAAAATTCTTACCATTAAACTATGATGATGGACAAAGTGAAAATGGGAATTTATATCATAGATTAAGTGCTTTTTATAAACAGTTCAGTAAAAGAAATTATTGTAATGTGTTTTGGCCACAATGACAGGGATTTTAGGCAAGAAGAGGTATAAGAATATAGACATTTGTATAAATTTTAACATGAATTAAGTAATTGGAAAAAAAGTATATGTAATATATTCTGATTTTTCTATCCCAGGAAACAAGAGTTCAGTTTTGTAAACACTAACATGGGTGGATGTTTGTCTTTGTTTTGTAGGCAATATGAAACTGTTGTCCCACTGGAAGATTCTATTGTGACAGAGGTCACAGCAACACTGCAAGAGTGGGCTAGTCTCTGGAAGCAACTCTATGTGGTAAGTATATAGTGAGAAGCAAGACTCTTGGGACAGGATGCATTCTTGTAAAGCAGTGTATAATGGCCCATAATGTTTTGAATCATAAAGTACCATTGTATCAATTAAAAACCACCTTGTGGCTTTTGGCATCTTAGGAATCTTTCAGTAACAAACTAGGAATAGCTCTGTGAGTAATACACAAACATTTGGGGACTCCTGGCTAGATGTGTTTCCTCCTACTTGTCCAGTCTCTCTGATCTCGATGATATGCACTTTTCACTATTCATCCAGCCTATTCAGTGACATGGTTATTAGAAATAGGGGGAGAAGAGGAAGAAATTCTCCTCACCCCAAAAATGGTTCCTTCCCAGAGGCTGGGCTCTAATCCATCAGTCTCCAATCTAGAAGACAAGAGGGATTCACTGCTTGACTGAACTCATTGCTGGACTAACTGCGGTTTTATTATGTGCTCAATGGACATGATTAATCCTATCAGCCAATCACATTTCTCTCTTTCTTTACCCAGTCGAAGGGGTTCTCACTTAATACTGATCATAGGGCATAAATCACCTTGCTTAAATGAATAAAACTTCCTATCTGTTGATTGAACTGAATCTGTGATTATACCAGTTAGGGTGCTGATAGAACTTCTGTAGCCATCATACCCATTTTACAGATGATGAAACTGAGGCACAGAGAAGTTAAGTGAGTTAGACATAGGATCATATAACTAGTAAGCGTCAGGGATTGGATACAAACTCAAGTATTTCTGATTCATACTCTTTCTGTTACACTTTACTGCCTTATCCACTGAATTTCAGCACAAAATTCTTCCTGAATCTATACTTATAGGTTCAAATGTTTTTAATACTTAAATCTTCCCATTATTTGTTCAAGATAAGATATTTATTTACTTTTAAAGATATCATTGGGTGACATAAATACATATTATTCTTCAGATTCACCAAAAAAAAAAATGACTGCAAATAGAAGCAACTAGGTTAAAAAATATAAATTAGTAACTAAAAAAAATAAAACCTAATCTAACACATTTTCACAGATGTGTTAGAGTTATAAAAAGTGAGAAAGAGTGATATTCCTTTTTGTATGTTCTTTAAAACAGATGAAGCTGGAATACAGACCTTAGTAGAAGAGAAACAAAAATCTTTTCATGAGGAACAGATGACCTTTGTCCTTTGAAAGTATTATCGTATCAAAGAATGCCAATTCAGTTGTACCAGTGGTGTCTTCAGGGCTACTTAGCTTAAAGGATCACGAATACCTTTCTTACTATATCTCAGACGTTGCAAGTCTAGGGTCAGAGACGTTCGAGACCCTTCTCACCACATTAAATGCCATGACCACTTATATGGAGCTCTGTATACTTATATACAGAACCTCTGATACAACCTATACGTGGACAATACTCAGCTTCTCTGTAAACTGGGTTTTGAAATTCACTTCTATTTTAAAACTTTAAATGCCTGTCTTCCTTGAAGGTCTGACCATGTCATCCTCCTGCCCAATAAACTCCATTGGCTCCCTATACCTACAGGATCAAATATAAAACCCTCCGTTTGACATTCAAAGTCCTTCATAATCTGACCCTCTCTCACCTCTCCTGTTTTCTTACAGATTATTGCATTGTCCATCCCCTCAAACCCTAGCATACTCAAGTCCCAGCCAAAGTCTGAATTCTATAGGAAGCCTTTCCCACTTCCTCTTAGCTCTAGTGCCCTCCCTCTGTTGTTGTTTCCATTTATCATATATATGCATATGACATGTATATACATACATGTGTATACATATATATGTACATATTGTTTGTACATAGTTGTTTGCATATTATCTCCCCCATTAGATTGTGAGCTCCTCAAGAGTAGGGACTTCCTTTTACCTTTCTTGCTATCTCTAGTGTTTAGTGTAGTGCCCGATACATAGTAGGTGCTTTAAAAAAATGTTTTATCAACTAACTGACAACTATGTAACCGCAACAGTGCTGTGAAAATTAAGTATCTTTGTGGTGGTTGAGCAACAAAAGGCTGGCATATAGTACACTTTAAAAAGTTGAAATGGAAGATTCAAAATTCACAGCCATCTGTTTTCATTTTATGTATATTATAAAAATCTTTTAAGTAGAGTACATTATATTTTTTAGTTCTTCATATTAAATAAATGAATGTATATCATTATATTAAGCCAGATTGGTCGGGAAAATCATATAATGTTGAAAAAGTACAGAAAATATAATCTGTTCCTTCAGCTCTCTTTAGGAAGGCTGTCTTTCTCTGCTTTGAAATTACTCTAATTCCAGATATAAAACATGCATTAAATGTAAGGCAAACTTTTCTTCAAAGTCGTCCATAAGTACAAGGTGATTTTACTCACATTTCATTGGATTATTTTGTGGGGAGGGGGCTGAGGGTGTTGGTAGAACATTTTGGGCCCCTATTTTTATTATACCTTTAGCTCAAAAATACTAGTTTTGGAAATACGGTTGTTTTATCGACAAGCCCTCAAAAGATATATTACTAACCTGTGTAGTCTAAAGCATCTATGCCAAGTAGGTTCAAAAAATGTCACTAGCTTTGGGTTTGTTTGCATTGTGCCAACCCACTAATCCCTTCTTTCTTAACTATGCCCACCCTGTCTACTGTTCCCCAGCTAATTACACTAATTGAAAGTGTCTGCTTCCAATAAATGTTTTCAGAGTTCTTCCACAAACATATATTCATATGAAAAAAATAATAACAGAGGAAGAGTCGAGGATCTGACCTGGATTTTACATTTCACTGAATATAAAAAGCTTCCTGTAGCTGCAGTTCCAACCAACCCAGAGGACCCTTATATCTGACCCCATGACATTCATCAGTGGTTCAAACCACTTGTCCTGCCAAGCAAAAATCAAAATCTATGGAAAATGTAAGAATATATAACATAACTACTGATCACTAAATCCCAGCTAGTAGCACCAATCCTTCTGCACTTTCCAGGGCCCTAAGCCAGATTGGCTTCCTCAGCAATATGCATACACAATCTCTAATTACTTGTCCCTCTTCTGTCACTGCCACCCACTTTAGACCACAAGATTGCATTTTCTAGGGTTTATTTATAAGGAAAAAGAGAATATGCAAATTCAGAAATAATACCCCAGAGGAAGGTAATTATAAGTGCAAATTAAAGCATGCTACCTAGGTACTGACTAGATGGTAATTCAGTGTCCTAAAGTAATCTGTTTAGCTATAGTTCCCCAGTGTTGCCTCATTCCTTCTGATTCCTTCTTAGCCTAGAACATCTTCCCTCATAATCTGCTTGAAAATGTCATCTTTCATCTCAAAACAGTTCCTGCTCCCAGCCCTAGGTTAGAATGAGCCTACCTGCGTGTTCTAGTCTGTGCACATAGGTCCATCCTAAAATCCCAGGCTCATAGTCAAGCAGGAAGGCCTGGTTGCCTGGCAAGTTGTGAATATTCCACTTACATTCTCATGTAATCTTTGAGCTAACCTCTAGTCTCTACCCAAAATAATCCAATAGAAGTAAATATAAGTGTTCCTGTTGCCTCAAAAAATCAGAATAATTCTGTAGTGCAAAATATACTGTATTTGGAGTTAGAGGACCTGGGTTTAAATCCTGGCTTCGCCGCTTTCCACCTGTGTGACATTGAACAGTTCTCTATGTACCTCAGTTTCTTAATCTGTAAATTAAGTAGATTGGACTAAATGACCACTGTCCCTTCCAGTTCTAAATATATGATTCTATCAACCCAATACACATTACTTTCAGTGTTCACAAAAGCTAATGTTCTTCCTTAGCATTATTTCTTTGTAATCCTCTTATGCTCATTCCTTTTCCTTTTAGGCTCATTTGGATTTCTTATAGATAATTCACATGGCTAGTATAAATAACACCAGGGCAGCTAGGTGGCACAAGGGATAAATCGCTGGATTTAAAATCAGGAAGATTCAGCTTCCTGAGTTCAAATTCAGCCTTAGATACTTATTAGCTATGTGACCCTGGGCAAGTCACTTAACCCTTTTGCCTCAGTTTCCTCATTTGGAAAATGAGCTGGAGAAGGAAATGGTGGGGCAACTAGGTGGCACAGTAGATAAAGCTGCAGCCTGGGAGTCAGGAGGACCTGAGGTCAAATCTGGCCTCAGACACTCGAAACTCACTAGATGTATGACCCTGGGTAAGTCACTTAAACCCAATTGCCTCACAAAAAAAAAAAGGAAATGGCAAATCATTCCAGTATCTTTGTCAAGAAAACCCCAAATGGGGTCACCAAGAGTTGGACACCATTGAAACTCTTCAACAACAAAATAAACTACACCAGAACACTGCTCTAACTGTCCTTAAAGGCCATGTATAGCACTGTGGAAGAGTTATAAAGTTTTTTTTTAATTCATAATAAATCCCTTTAGACATGCCAGACTTGCCTTGTACTATTGCAAGTCATACGACCACCCTTTTTCAGTATCCTTGCAGGACCATCATCTTTGTTCCACCTCCTGTATATTAGAGTACCCATAGACTTTGTCCTGGGCCTCTCCTCTTCTCTCTCTGCCTTTAATCTTGATGATCTCATCAGCTGTGGTGTATTGCAGATAACTCACAAATCTATATATCCAGTCATATACTGATACTTATCTTTCTCCTGGTCTCCAGTCTCATATCTGCCACTACCTGCTGGACATTTCCACCTGGATGTCCCACAGTCACCTCAAACTCAGCACATCTAAAACAGAACTCATTATCGTCCTCCCTAAACATTCTCTTCCTCCTCACTTCCCTATTTCTGTTCACAGCACCATCATTCTTCCACCCCTACACTGGCTACAATCTCTTCCTTTCCCTGTCTTACCCTTTCACCATCCTTAGTGAATCAGTTCAGTTCTAGACTGACATCTTCCCTCAAGTGCCCCCCCTTTATTTTATATAAGATTTTTCCCTTCCAACTCAGCCTTTGATTACTCTCACCATCTGCCACCTTTACTCCTACTCGCATGCTGCTGAACAAA